TAGGTGAGATTTTCTCTAAATCTTCCAATCACCGAACTATCACTCAACTGACAATCAATAGGTCTAAGTAAGAATTTTACTAATTCTACTAACATTTAGCATTTATAACAATACATGAATTAATGGATATCATTTATTCAATTTGATGATTTCATAATATGCAATAAAAAAAATATGCAAATTTATCCAATAATGACTTGCATCATGATATAACAAATTAATTCTTCCAGAGTATAACTTCAATTATAATTCAAAAAAAAACTGACATCGTTTAAGTTTTATTTTAAATCTCTATCGCAACACAGTCCTAATAAATGGAAAGCGACATCAGAATTCTCATATTCTACTTGTTATCAAAAACTAATATCCCAAAATATTCACTTGTTCCACAATAGGTTATATTCCAGATTCATTTATTTATAGCCATAAGCACGAAACATTTCAACAAGTTCCATAGCCTTTGATTTTCTAACATTTCTTCTAAGGTTGCTATAAATGTGCATAGATCCAATCACATCTGACCAAGCACAAAAAATTGAAAACAAGTTACAATGGATCACATATCCTAATGAAAACATGCACAACTCATGAACGTATATAAAATATGGTATTCTAAATACCTTTGGAGTATTTATCATTTAAAAATAAAACATTTCAAAAAAATCTCACTAGGCAAATACCACTTATCAAATATTCTCAATTTTTATAAAAATTTTCAGAATTTAATCGAGTCCAAAAAATATTTTTTAATTATTTGAAAATTAATTTTAATTGCACATAAAAAATATTTGAGGGACCAATTTGCAATTTTCTAAATCTCATTTGAAAAAGTCAAACGATAGTTTTATTTGACATTCCAACTTTTTTAAAACTTTTTTTATATAAAGAAAGGTGTTCGGGACGCCCACTACATGCACATCCGCGACGCTAATTCAATGAAAAAAATTTTGTTGATTCGTCCTTTTAATCAATTATAACGTTTCGAGTTCATCTGTATGGTTAGATTTTACAATATCAACTTTTAAGATTGTGTTCTAAACCTAAAAAAAATATTATTCATCCTAAAAAAAAAGGAACAAAATTTCCAGGTTTTTATCAATACTATGGGAGGCCATAACTTCTTCATTCCAAGGCCAAAATTTATGTTCTTTTTATCATTGGAAATGTCTCGAGAAGATCTATCTAACCATACCAAATGGGCATCATGAAACACAATGTGAAAGAAGCTATCATCAGATGAAATCTTCCATTTACAAATTTTCACTCAAAAAATCATATTTACATATAAATTTCGGGGGGTCATAACTTTCTCATTTTAGGCCCAAAATTAATGATCTTTATATCATTAGAAAGGTCTTGAGAAGATCTATGCAACTATACAAATGGACAGTATAATACTTAAAGTATAAAAAATTATCACGTGATGAAGTTCAGGATTTTATTTTCATGCCAAAAATTTATATTATCATTCAAATTTCAAAACCTCAAAACTTCTTCGTTTTAAGTCCAAAATTTTTGAGTTCTTTATATGATTGGAAAGCTAATGAGAAGACTTTCTAACCACACTAATATTACTGCATGAAAATGAATGAGATGGTAGTAAATTATAAAAAGATGCCACTAAATACCACACAAGGTTTCAAAATTTTACATACAAGATTCATAACCCAAATCGTATCATGTAATGGCATATTTAAGCATGAATTACAACATGCAATTCAACCTTATGGCTCTGATACCATTGTAGGAATTCGCAGCATACTTTGACATAAATTTTGGGTCAAGAAACTTATTTGAAATGATGAATTCCGAGTTTTTTTTGTGTGATTGAATCACCTTGCATTCCAAAGCTCCAAAATCTGTATTTTCTTGTTCTCCAATGATCCCAATCCCAATCACAATGAAAGGAGATTATTTTCCACAATCTAAGTGCCATTTTTTGTGAAATTTCATGCCAAAAATATGGTTCTAAGAACTTTCTAATACTGGTGTGAATTTCCATACAAATTTTCACCATTTTTCCGTGCCATCTTTTTTTCCTCCTTTTTTTCGTAACTCCTATATGGAGGTTACAACGGTTATCTTGGGAGTTGTAGAGAGTTGGGGAAGTTATGGATTTAAATTCCCATTCAAAACATTCCCTCCTAGCCCTTTTAAAATCTTGCGTCACCCCACATGGGTGACCCGTTACCCGTATTTTTCAATAGGTTTTGAACTCAGATTTTCATGGATAGATATACGTACATGTCAGTCATTTCTCGACTAAGATGTATCGGGTTGAGAGGTTGGAAGTTATCTATAAGTAACAACAACTACGCAGTTCAAGATGACATCAACTAACACCAATATGGATATTAATTCTATTAAGAAAATTAAAGCTTTATTATACCAAAATAAATACATGATTCAGAGGGAAAACCCTAGGAAGTACTTGAATCAATGCACAACAATCTAAGGAATGTTAAACCAAAATATTGAAAAGAAAAAGAAAAACAGAAAAATCATTCCAGAATTGTATTGATCAGATGAATATAAATCAAAACACGCTACTAACGTATGCATCTTCAGGGAATTCATGCACATCAATGAATTCTGTAGGCTAATATATGCATCTTCAGCCTCTTCGAGAATTCTGTAGGCGTCTCAAGACAACAACCTTGTAGAGCCTTCTTGTCTTTATAAACAAGACCAATGCAACTAGAGATCCAAAAAGACTAACACCAGCCAATATGAAGAACGATATCCTGAAACAATGAGAGCCGCTACACAAATTCCCTTTACCAGATGATTCTTTGTCATATATATAACCAATCACTCGTACAGAAAATATGTAAGATCCAACCGGACTAGCTACAGCTATGGTGTAAAATATAGTAGCCATATGCAGCACACCGAATATCTCAGACGTGATAGCGGGCATCAACGACCATTGCGAACCATAACAAACACCAATCAAAACCGAACCCAAGTACAAATTTCCTGGAAAACCCAAACCAATAATTATATGCCCTGCAGCCATGGTAGCAAGAGTAAGAATATTAAACAACGGCCTTGCCCAACCTCTTCTGTGCAAGAAAATATCGGACACATATCCAGCCCCAAATCGCCCAAGAAAATTCCATATGCTCCATAGAGAAACTAATGTACTTCTCTGGACAGATGTGTAACCGAGTGATTCTCCTATTTGGCCGATATTGTTTATTGTGGCCATTCCGGAACCCATTCCACAAAGCGTTGCAACAAACAACAACCAAAAGTTCATTGTTCGCATGGCTTGAAAAAGATTCATTTCTTCAACATACAAAGTATCCTCGGAAGTGGGCTTGTGACAAATTGTATCACTTGGAACCTCACCACAATCTTCAAGATTCTCTACCGTGGACTTCTCTGAGTTAAACGATATGAAGCCCTTTATCAACGAGGTATTTAAGAATGTTTGTGATGATCTCTCTAAATCCTCTTTATTTGCTTTAATCGCTAATTTAATTGGTGAAGCGAGTAGAACAAGTAGAACTACTAGCGTTAGAGTGTAAACCCATGGTGAAAAATTGATGGCGTTTCTCAAGATTATTAATAACATAAGATATGCTGCGACTGCCACAGATATCAGCGAGAAACCATTCAAATATCGCTTCTCATTCTCATCTCTATTAGGTACCTGATGGACTCTCACAAACCACATAAGAACTAGAGAGAAAATAGGTGGTAAAAGAGCCATCATCAACAAGAATGCGCTTGGCTTCCCTTTAGATATTGTCTGATACACTTGTATCAGTATTGCTCCACTTAGACCAAGAAAACCCTGTAAACGAACATGAAAAAGAATACAGTGTTTAGTTGAAGCTCGATAACAGGAGAGGCAGGACAGATTATCACGCGAAGTAGATTATGAGCACCATTGGCCCAGCTTAAAAGTTTTTTAGCCAAACATGTTGAGCACTTAAAATTTGAAATTAAGGGTCCGTTTGGTAGGGATTTTGAGAATTGATTTTTTGACCGTTAGAAGAAAAGTGGGGTCCACATGTGAGAGAAGGAGTCAAAAATTACGGCTTGAATAGTAAAATAACGGTCAAAAAATCAATTTTTCGAAACAAAAAATCTCTATCAAACGGGGCCTAAACTTATTTCGCCCCAGTTTGAGCCAACTTTTTGGGATATAAAAATAAAATTTTTTACCGTTATATCTCTTTTCAAGTTGCAATTGTTGACCACCTGTGTCATGTGTGGGACCCATATTCTATTCCAATGGTCAACTTTTTTTATGAAAATAATTTGGAAAATATGGCACAAATAAACTCTTACTTAAAAATTGACATTTTAGCTTAGCTAATCGTGCTCAAATCAATCAATGGAGATAACATGTTTATCAAATTCTTTAAAGAGAAGCATGGTCCCATTGCCATATATTTTGGGATTTCCCATCAGATCTGAAAATTGATCAATATTTTTTAATCCTTTGTTAGCACTTTGTGGGATAAAATACTCAAGAAAGTTTTGGTCTAAGATTCCAAGTGTTTGGTCAATCCAAGTTATAATGGTTCAAGAAACACGCTGTCCACAACACAAATGTAGAGGGGGGGAAAAATCTAAAATGTTGTGTTCGTGTATTCCTCAATATTCCCAAAAACATAATTTAGTTAATCAAAAGATTATAGTAATTTAAGGATCTTAAACCAAAAAAGTGAGATAATTCTTTGATGCAAAGTTAATATGTATTTGTCTAAAACATATTGGGAAATAATCCTTAAAAGATTCTACAAATAAAAAACGGAGAAAGCTATTGTGCGAGTGAAGATACCTTCATGAGACCGACGATTGTACCACTGTACTCCGGGAAGTTCTGAACAGCCGTAACAACGTTAGCCGTATTGAAGAATGTCTGAGCATGCGCAGCTAGGTACATTAAAAGGCACATCACCACAACATGCGGCCGGTGAATAGCTCCGGTGACGGCAAGCCACATGAAGAAATACCCAATAAAACATTGGATTGCGCCGACGGCGTGGACCACCCAGGGCCGACGAAAAAATGAGCTGGACTGGTGACAGGAGTTGGCTGCGGTGGCTGAATAGAGAAGGCCGGAGAGGATTCCAGCATTTGCTCCGATGTCTTTGAAAACTGAAATCAAGTCAAGCGTTGATTGATCATAACCTTGGCTTGATTTTAGGAGAGGGGAATATATCCCGAAAGCGTATGAAGCACCACAACTGCATTGAATCCAAATGCTCGCCACCGTTGCTATCCATCTGCTGGACTCCATTTATAATCTGGCTCGTGTTGGTGGTACGTGGGGCTAGGGGTGGAGCGTGGCGTTCCTAGATAAGTAAAGTTTCTTAGACCCCACCGCAGAGAGGATGAAGTTATGGTTCCACTGCTGTCCATTCAAATGATCACCTTGTTTTAAATATTTATAAAATGTCAATATTTTAATCAAACTTAGGTGTGTGTTATGTTATTTTTGTCGAAACATTATCGTGGTCACTTGTTACATAATTATTATATTCAACTCATATCTTTGCAAATCCTACGTTGGACCCTTAACCTATTTATTGTGCTTGTTTATTCACATAATTATCATGTGAATAATCATCAGCAGACAAATTGATTTTATAAAACCCTATGGTTCCACAGAATATTTAGTGGGGCGGGCGCATCACGATGTAGAGATGCCACCTCGACGGGTGACCCACACACCTTGGGGATGTGTGATGGGCCACCCGTCGAGGTGGCTCAGCCTGATAGGTGATATGATCCGTTCCGAATCATCCTAGTGGACGCGAAACGTGACGTATGGCGATGATAGATGTTGACTAGATGTCAAATATATCACCAAGGCTGACTATGAGCTATTTAAAAAATACAACAAAATCAAATGCTTATATAAAATATAATACGATGGGCCCAAAATATTTACTTCGTGCTTCATCAATATGAGTTATAATATTCAACATGTCGTGTGACTTTCATTTGGAAATCATTAGGCTCTTCCAGTTAAAAAGAATCAATTCTCACCTGTATAGAAATCACGGAAAAATATATAAGTTGATAGCTCAATAAATGGAGAAGTTCGAAAATAATTATACTTTTTCATTTTTACATTTTTTTCGAAAATCGAGTTCATATCATTTAATAATTCACAAGATAACATCATCTAATTATAATCAAAAGTGAAATATCCACATAAGGTCGTAAAATATCATTTTAAAATTATGATATAAACATCAGCTGATAATCACGCTATAATCTCATCACATCAAACGTGCTAAAAAATTCATCAAAAATGTACCCTCTAACTTAAATATATAATCCGCCCCGCAAGCTAAGAACTTTCGCCACGGGCCTTTGGCCCCTTCGTGAACGAAAGTCGGTCTTAAATACCTCTCATAATCAATTCTAGAACACAATCAAGACCCCTCAGTGAACTATATGTACACGGTCGAGACCCCTTCATCCTCAGTCCAAGACCCCTCAGTACAGTATAGAACACGGTCAAGGCCCCTCAGTAAACTAGAACAAATATATCATCACGGATACTTTTCTGGTCGATCTCAAAATCACATCTCATATTCCAATTCATAATGTAACGTATACAATCTTTGAAATCCCACGTATATCATAATAAAACATATTTCCATAATAACCATGTAATTCGAACATATAATTGCACATACTTTAACAATAAACTTAATTTGTAAATACTTTAAAAATATTTATATTTTTCCACTCACAGTACTATGTTCGCAAAATCAATCCGATTGGTAAACTGTTCTGATGTTAGTATTGTAGCCTGAAATACGATATAATTTTTAAATAAACAATTAATTATTTTAAATAATTTCAATAATTAAATAGGCAATACACAAACTTAATCATTTCACGTTTGAACGATTTCTATAGTCTCTTTAATCACTAAAACTAAACTTAACAATAAGTAACTTTTTACTTACCTTTCAAAATTGAGGAATTCAAGCCTAATAATGCAGATCACTTAATTCCTAACACGTTGGCAAAAAATTTCTATTTTTTTTCCTTTGTCTTTTCTCTCTTCTCTCTCTCTTTCTCTCCATTTTCGTTCTCTGCTTCCTCTAGACGTCTTGGCCCCAGAAATGAGAGAAAATAGATATGGTTGAGGTTTTAAATGGATAGGTATGATAGAATTGCAATTCAAGTCCTCAACACTTAATGTGATATACCATTTACTCCTTTAATTCCAATAAATAGAAAATAAATCCCTAAGGTTCTTGTAATTACAAATTAAGCCCCATAAAATTCATTTGTTCAATTTAAGTTCTTATTAACTTTGACTTTGATCATTTTCTTTGCTTGACTTTGACTAAAAATGGATGGAGTGTAACATAGGGTAGCGGTGCGACTGCCCGATTAAAGTTTCTCTCTTATGGTTCGCATGTTTTTTCCTTCCAAGCTCGTGCAATAGCAGCCAATGCATCACATTTTAAAAAATGCATAGTTGTTAGGAGTACAACTGGGAAGGGTATAGAATTTACCTCCAAAGTTATAATTAGACAAGAATTCGATTGAGATAGATGAAAGTCGTAAACTTTGAAGTAGTACTACTTCCGGTACAAGCATGCATGGAGAATTTAATGAAAATAAATGATAAAACAAAAATAATAATCACTAATAAATTTCATAAAATATGTTATTGAATTACAGAAATATCATATTCCTCGAGTCTCAAATTGTTTCATGCGGGTTCGTCGCTAACAATTAAAAAGGGATAAGACGATTGTGTAAGGGACAAACCTCTTGAAACAAAGTCCCAAAAAGGGGTGTTCTTTATTAGCGATGACTTTACAATCGGAAAGTAAAAACAGAATGCCTCAAAGGGGCGCAAGCACACGAGTTACTGAAAGCATTGTTTAAATCTAAGCTATGAAATTTAAAATTACATGTTCTCTGTTCGAGAGTTTTTTTATTCAGGTCCTTTGCTCTATGTCTTTTCTTCCTTTTATACTCCCTGGATGATCTCTTTGTAATCAACCGCCTAAAAACTGCTTGATCGTTCTATAACTGCCCACTTTCCTCGTAATGACCAACTTGTCATGGAACTGTCTTTTCTAACTGCTGCCATTACTCTTTGTCGTTCAACCGTATTCAATTGAATTCCTTGAATCGTGGAACGTGATAGGGCTGCTTTAGTAACTGTTTTGATAACTGCGCTTCTTGATAACCACAACACTTCATGTTTACTAAGACCTTGGGCGACTCGAAGGTTTGGGCGAGAATAGAGTAGCAGTTCTGGGCGACTGCATGGCACTCCATTCGCTCAGATCCTGGGCGACTTGCAAGCTTGGGCGATGGTGTTACCGCGTTCATGGGTTTTCCTATTTAGGCCTTCATCCTGAATTGTCTGATTGGGCTTCGTTCTTTGGGCTATCTGATTTGGGAATCCTCCAATTGGGCTTCATTCCTTGGGCCGTTCAATTTGAGCTGAATTTTTATGTGTCAACAATTACCCCCCAATATGGCAGAATTAATACCAATTATTGAATTTTGCCATATTCACTTTGTGTTTCCAGCAACATTCGAAATTTCCAAAATTTTCAATCATTGTTTTCTTCCATAGTTTGAAAAGGTACGACGTTTTGCAAATCCTTATAACCCCAAATACGTCATTTCACTGCACCATTAAATCACGCCTCACTTTTTCACGTTTCTCTCCTACAATTTACTATTCATCTCTTTGCTTCCCTACTACGTAACTCTGAAAAACTCCGTTTTGTTCCTAATGGCTACTTCACAATCTCAATCTGGCGACTCCTTTAGTTTTGATGACTTTCAGAAACTCCTTAATCGTCCATACATAACTCCGAACTTTCTCGCACCTGCCAGTGTCGAACTCAATGAGTTCTACCTAGATCCTTTCTTCAACAATGCAGAGACAGTCGAACAAGCGGCGGTGGGCCAGCTGTTTCCTTGTACTCAAGGCCTTCAATTTCTAAACTCTCTGCCGCTGGGGCCACTTCCCGAAAGAGGTATTGGCACTTGGCTTAAATATGATGTAGTTTTTCGTAGGTGGCATGCTCGCCTTGTGGACCATGGTCCTACTAAGGCACTTTTTGATAATGCTAGAATTTCTGATTTGTTAGTAATCTCTCTTCAACCCCCTACTTTTGATTCAGCACTTTTTCCAATCTTTTTAAGTTTTTTGGTCTTCTGAGTACAATACCTTTGTTTTCCCTCTTGGCCCCATGTCTATTACTTTAAGGGATGTTGGGGCCCTAGTGAATCTGCCACCTTTGGGAGATACCATTTTTCCTGGTATCTTGATTTCTGGTGGCGCCTCAAAGTTTGGTAAAAATCTCATCGAGTCTTATTCAAACCTGCAAACCCTTCATAACCACTCGAGCACTGAACCTTCCCATATTGAGCGAGTGGCCTTTCTTTTGGTTTGACTTTGTAAATATGTTTTGTGTGTACCAAGTATAAAACCCTCCCTGAGCTATTTACCCATAGCGCACGAATTGGCGCGTGGTAGGCCTCTAAATTTATGTTCTTTCTTTTTGACTGCCCTATATAGAGGCATGTCTTCTCTTCAATCTCAATTGAAGAATGGTGCATCTTCCACTGGCAGTGGACTTCTTTGGTTCACTCAAATGTGGTTGAGATCTTATTTTCCATCACTTGGTGCTCCATCATTTTCTCGTCCTTCTGCTAGCTGCTATGTGCTAGCCATTGAGCCCCTGGCCCCCGTAAATATGTCTAGAAGGGACATTTTTTCATTCTTTGGATTCAATCCCTTCTTTCTTTCCTTTTCCGCCCTTTTTGACTCCAGACTATGTGCATCCTCCCTCCACTATAGAGAGCGCGAGCACCTCTCTGCTCATTTGGATCCAGTTTTTAACCGGGAGGGAGTTATTTCATGATATTTTGACTGGGACGAATGCCAAGGCTGGGATAGAAATATATGCTCCCCAATTTTTTGATCGCCAACTTAGTTTCGGCCAAACCTGGCCTGTTCCTTCTTGCTATTCAAGGAACTTGATAGACCGCTTCCATATCATTACTAAGGCGGAGGCAGATGCTATAAATGCTCGCAATCTTCTTTTGACGAGCCATTTTTCATTAGCCCCCTTCAATTCTAGCTATGTCATCCATCCCCTTTTTGAACAACTCTGGCCGTCAGTGAAGCGCAGATTATTTGCGACTGATGCCAATTGTGTCTTTCATTCACTGGACCAGCCACGCATTTCTTCCCCTCCTCCTGTTTTAGTCACCCCTTTGTCCATCCGGAGTCCTTCTCCTCCTCGTCGCTCTAAACAGTCTGCTGGTCCATCTTCTTCTCTCCCTGCCAAGCCTACTACAGCCAAAAGTGCCCCAAGCCGCAAATGGCCAGCCTCAACATCTCCCATTCTGGAGGATGATGTTGATGATGATGATGACACCCCTCTTATCATCAGGAGGAAGGTAATTAAATTGGTTTACTCACAAGCATACTTTTCCATACTTGAAACTTTTCTATATGCTGATGGTTTATTTTGACTTCTCAGAAAAGTTCAGCCTCTCCTTTGAAGGCTTTAGTATTGGCAGCTCCTGCTCCATCATCCTTCGCTGAGGCTGCTTCACCCATACCAACTGATGAAGGGACTACGCTTAAAGAGACATCTTCAGTCCCAGAATCCTCATCACAACCAATGGATGAGCCACCTTCTTCCCATGGCATCAACCTCCCAAACATCGAGGCAGAAGGTAATTTAGTTTTTTGATGCTTTACCTTTACTTGTGCTATTGGTTTCTGATTTGTTGCTTTTGAGTTCTGCAGATGCTCCTATGAGTCTGCCCGTTGTAGCAACATCTTCTCGCTCAAACAAGGGGAATTCCTCACGAATGGTGAAGCCACAGGTGGCAGACTTGGCTGAGGATATGCCATCTTCCAAGATTATTGATGAAGTAATCTTTGCTTCACTTTTATTTCCATCTTATTCGTTGTAGTGAGAATTTTCAATATTGGCAATTTTCTTTGCAGGATACTGATAAGATTGTGCGTTCTATTCAAAACTTGTTCGCTTCCTGGGGGCAAGTCAAGACATCTCGCCCTGCTCCAGCTGGTCGTCCTGCTACTTTTTCAGAGGAAGATATGAAGTTCTTCAAGCAATCGATATTTGAGTACGTGTCCTTCATGGATATGGACATTGGTAAGGCTAGTGTTGCCAGACATAAGGATAAGCTTGAGCATTTGAATGCGAAGTTGGAGCAAGCACTGACACTTCCGTCGCTCAATCTTTCTGCTAATTTTAAAGCGACGTTGAAAGTTATCCATTCCGAGGTCCTCTCCTTGCTGGCCAAGAATGTTGAACTGAAGGCCAAAAGTACTCAATATCTTCGCGCCGTATCTGAAAAAGAGTCTTTGCGTCCGGAGATCAACAAAGTTGAGGACGAGTTGAAAGAAATCTCTTCCGAAGTCATGATTGAAGACTCTTTGATGGCTAGTTTGGCTGCTCAGATGAAGAAACTTCAAGCCAAAATGGACGACTGCAAGGTGAGAATGGCTACTAAAAAGCGTAACGCCTCCCAGGGAATTGAGTGAACTAAGTCTTTGGTCGAGCAGTACAAGAAGTTGGAAGTTGATGATGATATCGTGGTCGAATTGAACATCACTTCCTCTCGGCAGAATGAGGACGGGGAAAAACTTAGGGAAAGAATTCGTTCGGTATGGGGCGGATTGTAATTAAGACATATAACGCCTTAACTTTTTCTTTTTGTAATTTCGCATTTGACTTTCCTTTTGTAACCTTGTTCATCATTAATGAACATCTATGTTAACTTCTTGTGCATTTATTTGACGTTTGTCGTTTAATCGCCAATCCTTCAAGTATTTAACTGCTTTGTGCTAAAAATCTTGCACATTTTTTCTTGATATTTCCATCTCTTTTCCTAAGACTTTGGGCTACTTAATTCCATTTACTAGGCAGAATGTGGCTGCTCATATTCTGTCTCTTCATCTCCACCCCCTATAAATGCGCGTATGCTTCGCATTTTCCATCTTCTATCTTCATTTTCATTTTCTTCTTCAAAACCAATTTGCTACCATTGTTTGGCATTCTGACAATCAATCCAAAACCTTCGTCTT